CCACCACCCCCCCGCCAGAAATAACCTTTTTAAACTGCTGGAGAATTGGGAAAAGAGAAGCCAGATTAGTCTTGTTTGTTTCAGTACTTGGATCTGGACCAAAGGACCCCAACAAACCTGAAAAAACTATCCTTTTTCCTAGTTGCATTTTCTCTTTGCTAGAGGAAAGATGAGTTTGTGAAGCTTCCTTGGGTACAAGTCTTGACCCATGTAAAGTCCTTGTGACTTTGATCTGTGGCCTACCAGCCATTGGTTAGCAGTCTGTCACACTGTACCGTATTTGTTGCATGTATCCTTCTTCAAATTATAAAAGACTGTATATAATGTCTCCATTCCCTGAAGAATGTTAGTTTTCTGTAATAGGAATCTTTGAAAGGCATTGATCCCATTCAGCTTACATGATTTGCTGGTTGACTTTTGAACTGAATAGTCCATTCATTTGGAGCAGAGCTCAGCTTCTCCCTCTCTGCTATTGCTGTTGCTCTTTTCATAATAACAGCACTAAGGATCTAAAGCTCTTGGTCCTAATTTATTCCTAAATTCTTGGGTAACCTTGAGCAACTGACTTAAAACAGATGCTTACTCTTTAAAAAAAAAAAAAATGCAAATAAGAGCTGGAGAGATGACTCAGCACTTAATGCTATTCCAGAGGACCCCAGGTTCAGTTCCCAGCACCCACATGGCAGCAAACAACAGTCCATAATCCCAAAGGCCTCTGTGTATGTGTATGTGTTGCACCTATATACATGGAGACAAAACACTCACACATAAAATAAAAACTTTTAATGTAAACAAATGCATGTCATCTAAAATTTACTCTTTTTTTAAAACTTATTTCCTATCTCTATTATACAATCTATGATTTAATAAGACACACATGTAAGTAATCTCGGTGGTGTATCTGTTTAAAGACAAAACTTCTGTTTAAGAGCCAGAATCACACAAAATAAGAAAACAAATTTTAGCAGTTTCCATACATTGGGACCCACTAATTGTATGCGAAATAAATATTCATCTTTGCAATACTTAGGAATTGCTTACCAACCACATTACAGTTACCGGCCAGATTATACAGTAAAGCTTAACCCTTTTTAGGAATGAATTTTAATTCTTAAAATTTGTCTTTTTCTAGCCATGCATGGTGGCACATGCCTTTAATTCCAGCACTCAGGAGGCAGAGGCAGGTAGATCCCTTGAGATTTAAGGCCAGCTTGGTCTACATCAAAAGTTCTAGGCCAGCTTGGGCTATAGGGAGACTGTCAAAACTTTAAAATTAGTAAATTTGTCAGGCATGGTGGCACATGCCTTTAATCCCAGCACTTGGGAGGCAGAGGCATGTGGATCTTTGTGAGTTTGAGGCCAGCCTGGTCTACATAGAGAATTCCAGAACAGCTGGGGCTACAGGGAAACCCTGTCTCAAAAAGACAAAAAAAAAAAAAAAAAGTAAATTTGTGTTTTGTGTGCCTGTGGAAGCCAGAGGAGAGCATTGAGTTCCATGGAACTGGAGTTGTGAGTCACTTGGTGTGGGTGCTGAAAACCAAACTCAGGTCTTCTGGAAGAGTAGCAAATGCTCTTGACCTCTAAGCTCAACATGTAGTTTGGTTATCTATTAGTTTATCCAGTAATTGTCCCCTGGCAATTATTCCCATCTTGTTCTGTAAGGTTTGTTTAATCTTTGTTAGCTCTCAGTGGTAGATGGTAAAGATGATAAAGCTGTTAATTTTAAAGCATATTTGTGGAGTGTTGTCTTCCTCTAGCACAAACCTGTACAATCTAAATCACTAATATTTCAATTGTAACTAAAAGTTGTGGAAGTCCCCAGTTACTTGAGTGCTTAACCATTTGTGCTTCTTTCCCTACTTTAGTCGGCTATGTCCAAAAACTGCATCAAACTTTTGTGTGAAGATCCCGTTTTCGCAGAATATATTAAATGTATCCTAATGGATGAAAGAACTTTTCTCAATAACAATATTGTCTACACATTCATGACACATTTCCTTCTAAAGGTATGTATGTAGTACTTCTGAAACATGCCATTTCTGGTTAATAAATGCATTTTTTCATTATGTTGGTCTTGGATGTCTGATGTCTTCAGATTTTGTGTGTGTGTGTGTGTGTGTGTGTGTGTGTGTGTGTGTGTGTGTTCTTCTTTTCCAGGTTCAAAGTCAAGTGTTTTCAGAAGCAAACTGTGCCAATTTGATTAGCACCCTTATTACAAACTTGATAAATCAGTATCAAAACTTACAATCTGATTTCACCAACCGAGTTGAAATTTCCAAAGCCAGTGCATCTTTAAATGGGGTAAGAACTGCGCCAAGGTTTCAAAATTTACCCTAAATCAACTCTTTATTGGCCTCTGTAGAACTATCATGACTTTAAATTAAATTCTTAAAATATGATGGGGGAAAAATATTTTCAAGTAAGTGTTTGCTGTGCTATGTAATCATACAACACACACTTCTATTATTTAGAACACATGATCTAGCAGCATTAAATATGTTGAGGGCAATAGGACTATTAAGAGCTGGGTATGGTGGCATATACCTGCAATTTCAGCACTTATAAGTATTGTGATATGTGTATAATTGTGGTTCCTAAATAACCAGAACAAACTAATGCTCTACTGATTTATAAAGACAGTTAAAACTATATGAAGGCAGTTTAAACTAGGAACTGGTTGATTTATGTAGATTCTGTGACAGCCATAAAAACATGCCAGATATCATTCAGCATCAGCAATAGCCTCCTAAGGAAAAAGATGTTTACAAGCCACAACACATTTCCAAGCTAAGGAAGACCATGACATTCACCAGAATTTAGCTTGAGAAACTGACTTCTGTAAAATAAAACCTAAACTTATAATGAATCAATGAAGCTTTGGTTTTCAAATTACTATATAAGTCTGCCTCAGTTACATTACTTGTTTTTTTGTTTTATTTTCGTTTTCCAAATGAAAATAGTCTGGCCTACTTTGGCATAAGCATAAAGTAATGGTACTAATAACTCAACTGATGGAATACTGTGACATCCAAATTCTGGTTTTAGCATTTTTTCCACATTGCCAGAGAAACCAGAATGGAGTCCCAGGAAAGGAAAGATCTTTTAAATGTGGATAGCTGTGTCCAAATTTTTCTGTAGGAATTAAACTCTTCCTGTCTGGGTTTTTATAGGATCTGAGGGCACTTGCTTTGCTCCTGTCAGTACACACTCCCAAACAATTAAACCCAGCTCTGATCCCAACTCTGCAAGAGCTTTTAAGCAAGTGTAGGACTTGTCTGCAACAGAGAAACTCACTCCAAGAGCAAGAAGCCAAAGAAAGAAAAACTAAAGGTTAGCTTTTGTCAACTGACTTAATCAATGCCTTGGGTTGGGATGGAAGGAGGGATATACTTGTGTGCTTTTATACTCTGTTGAGCTTCTTAAATATAAATGCTAAGAAGAGCTGGAGATAATACAGCACTCTCACATGTGCAAGGCCTTGGGTTTGATCTCCAGGACTTAAAAAAAAAACAAAAACTGCTGAGCCATCTCTCTTTAATTTTTTTTTTTTTTAAGAACATTGGCTGCTCTTGCTGAGGACCCTGCTTTGATTCCCCCAGTATCCACGTAGCAGCTAACAACAGACCATCTGTAACTCCAGCTCCAGGGGATCCGACACCCTTTCTGTCCTCCACAGACATTGCACAACACAGGTGCACTTAACATATATGAAGACAAAATACTCATACACATAAAACTAATAATTTTTTTTTAAACAAAATTGGCCTCCCCACAACCACCCTCAGTGTGATTTTAGTGCCCCTCCCCTTCGGAGTTTGTTTTAATGTTTTTCTCTTTTTCACAGATGATGAAGGGGCAACTCCTGTTAAAAGGCGGCGCGTGAGCAGTGATGAGGAGCACACTGTAGATAGCTGCATCAGCGACATAAAAGCAGATAACAGGGAGGTCCTGACCCCCACTAGCACTTCAGACAATGAGACAAGAGACTCCTCGATTATTGATCCAGGGACCGAGCAAGATCTTCCTTCCCCTGAAAATAGTTGTGTTAAAGAATATCGAATGGAAGTTCCATCTTCGTTTTCAGAAGACATATCAAATGCCAGGTCACAGCAAGCAGAAGAACAGTCCAACAGTGGCAGATTGGATGACTGTAAAGACCTCCACTGCGCCAAGGATTCTACCCTGGCTGAAGAATCTGAATTTCCTTCTACTTCCATCTCTGCAGTTCTGTCTGACCTAGCAGATTTGAGAAGCTGTGATGGTCAAGCTTTGACCTCCCAGGACCCTGAGGCTGCTTTGTCACTCAGTTGTGGCCATTCCAGAGGCCTCTTTAGTCACATGCAGCAACATGACATTTTAGATACCCTCTGTAGGACCATTGAGTCTACAATCCATGTGGTCACAAGGATATCTGGCAAAGGAAACCAGGCTGCTTCTTGACATTAGATGGAGCATGTCTACTTTTAAGTGCCCCTCCCCAATGCCGTTTGTATAAGTTTTGCTTATTTGTTTTTGTGCTTCAGTTTGTCCAGTGCTCTCTGCTTGAATGGCAAGATAGATTTATAGGCTAAATTCTTGGTCAGGCAGAACTCCAGATTGGAAAAAAAAAAAAAAAAAACCCTTGCATCTTCTGTATACTTTCTAAAGGGCAATCAGATAATGGATATGTTTTATGTAATTAAGAGTTCACTGTAGTGGCTTTCATTTAATATGGCTTTCTGGAAAAAACAGGGTTCTCTGGCCCTGTACAATGTAATTTAAACTTACAGCATTTTTACTGTGTATAATATGGTGTCCTCTGTGCCAGTTTTGTACCTTAAAATAAGAGGCAGATTGCCTCCAATCGCTGTGGTTCTTATTATCAAAATTAAGTTTACTTGTATACGGAACAACCACAAGAAATTTGATTCTGTAAAGAATCCTCTTTAGCTGTGGCCTGGCAGTATATAAATGGTGCTTTATTTAACAGAATACCTGTGGAGGAAATAAAGCACACTTGATGTAAAAATAATTGTTTTATTTTTATTGACATGACTGACTGCTATTCTGTGCACTTAATTAAACTGATTGTGATGACCTTTCATTTGTTGCTTCAGTCTTCTCAGAGAAAGTAGTGCGGAACTGCATGGAGGAAGCATTTATCCATTTTATTCTGTTTCAGAAGGCATCCTAGTGGCAGTTCAAAAGTAACTTACCACGTAGATGTCTCAAGCATCTCCATCCCAAAGTGTAACTGCTTGCAGGGCCAACCAAGAAGAGCCAGAAGAAGCGTGAACAGAATACAGCCCTCACTTCCACATGCTTTGGAGTGCAGCATGCCACTGTCTGAGCTACATACTTGAACTACACCTTTGAAACTCTGAAGTAAAATAAAGGAATAGTATAACATGCTATTTGTCTTCTCAAACTTAGGTCAACTACAGCTATGAAAGTAAACTTACTAAGACAGCATGGGAAACTTCAACTCTGTACACGACTTCATCTACTTTCTGGAGGAACGAACTTATATGAAGGTAAGAATAATAACTAATTCCAATGCAAAGTCTGTAATACATCAAACAGTGCTTTTAGATTCTGTACTTTCACGTCATCCAATATAAAATAAATTACAGTGATGGGGGGAAAAGAACGTTTTTAAGAAGAGATAAAAATGACACTTCTCTGCTTACAAAAGGTAATAATACCCTTATAAAACCTAACTAATTCAAGCATTTAGGGTGGTGAGCTGAAGTAAACCTTTTATCTCTTCAAAATGCTGCTTCTGCCAACAGAATTTTGTATTCTCTTCTTTACAGACAGGAACTCCTTTACAGTCCAATTGTAATTCAGTTTGCCCTGGAGTAGGCACAAAATTCAGTGCAACTGTTGCATAATGTTCTGGAAAAACATAGGAGCCTTATTATTGCATCAGGAGGAAGAAAATTTATCCATACCAACTTTAGTTTCTCATACATACACATATATATATAAAATATCATATGACATACCTTCCGGCCAGTTCCTACATCTCCATTTCATGATGATCTTTCTGTTTGTTAACTGAAAACAAGAGGGAAATTCCTCTTAAACATTTTTTTAAACTTGTACAATACAATAAAAGAAACTAATTTCAGTTTACTAGAATCAGTGATTATACGGGCCTGTCTTCTGATTTACATGTTAACATTAACAATCATCTGTACAGTTATAGAGCTGATCTCCAGGAGAGGCAACTGAATTCTGACAACATGAACCCTAATGACTTCAAGTAGCAGATCTAGAAGAGCTTTCAGTATTCAACTGCACGTTCTAGCACAAACAAATGGGAGGGTGAGGGGGTTAAGTCTGTTCTTCTAAAATTATAAGCATTTACGTCACTTGTAGGAACATAAAATAACATTTTTCATTTGTTCTACAATGAACTTTATAAAGGATTTGAATCTAAACTCAAAGATCTAAAGCAACTTAAAAATAACATGAGCAAAAAAAAAAGTAACATTAGCCAAGGGAGAGTTAGTTCCTAGAGTTAGGTCACTGCCCGGGCCGTGTGGTTACTTACCAGTTCTACATACTCTCCAGTGATGTTCCCATCAAACATCTGGAATTTCCCTCCCTTTTCAGCTTCTAATACAGCAGGAGATTTGGAAAACTTTTGCACCAACTAGCCAAACAAAACAGACATTTTACTCCAGCGCATGTATTTGTGTGTGTGTTGATCATACCTAAGGCCTTGCCTTGAGCATGGCCAGGTAAAAATTTCACCAGCCCTATCATTTGGGTACAAAAGTTTTCACTTTATAGAGGAAGAAAATTCATGTATCCCCCCCGCCCCCCAACTGCTGGCACAGTCCCCCAGAAGTGTCCATAGTTATCTCATCACTCAGAAGTCATCTTTTGCTTATCACCAGTATCCCCCAAGCACTTTAATCAAAACAGCCTCTTGTTCTTCATGGCATCTCCGAATGTTATCACTTGGGTGGGATACTAGCTTACGAATTTACTTACATCTTTCACAGTGAAAATACTGTATAGCTGATCTACTGTTGTGTCAAATAGTTCTGTTAAGTGCAGAGCCACAGTGGGAATCCTTACACCCAATGCCACTGGAGATGAAGCCTGAGAGGTTCAAGAGGATGGTAAGCATACAAAAAAAAAAAAAAAGATACTGGAATTCAGAGGTCAACCTCAGTAGAAAAGTTTCCCAAGTTTCATACTACCTCCTCTACACTCAGATGAAAACAGCATGAAAAGTATTTTGATGTCTTTGTTTCGTCAGTGCCTGGCCTTTACTTTCAAAACAGAGGTCAGTCTTCTATGAGCTCTTCACCTCCATTCCATTCCCAGGCTATGGCTAAGCATCTTAGTCCTAGTTGAACATGCATACAGGGCCCGAGAACATCATGCTAGGACAAAAGATGACTATACTTAGAATGTCAACTCCATGTACATATTCCTGTTCCCCAGTTCTAAAGTCAGGTTTTAAAATCTTCCCCAAGTTGAGAGACCATTCTTCTACTGTGTTTATGTGAGCCTCAAAGTTACCTGGTTTTGCCAGGTATGATGGTTCACACCTTTAATCCCAGCACCCAGGAGGCTGACGCAAGAGGATCATCATGAGCCTAAGGTCAGCCAGGGCTAAAGTGAGATCCTGCCTCAAAAAGAAAAAAACTACCTGTTTTGTATTCTTGCCTACCAACCAATGATTTAGAACAGTGTATTTTCAAACACAAAGGCCTGTTCACATGTTCTCTTCCATTCAGAATGGAAGGTAAGGAGCTGGAGAGATGGCTCAGCAGTTAAGAGCACTGACTACTCTTACAGAGGACCTGGGTTCAAATCCCAGCATCCACATGGCAACTAATAACTGTCCATCCATAACTGCAGTTCCAGGGTATCCAGTGCCCTCTTCTGGCCTCCATGGGCATTGCACGACACAGGTGAATTTACATGTATGCAAGCAATACTCATACACAAAATATTTTTTTAAAGAGTGGAAGGTAGAACCACTGGGCATGGTGGCGCACACCTGTAGTCCCAGCACTTGGGAGGCAGAAGCAGGTGGATCTCTGTGAGTTCAAGGCCAGCCTGGTCTACATAGTGAGTTCCAGGACAGCTGGGGCTACAGGGAGACCGTGTCTCAAAAAGACAAAAAGAAAAAAAAAAGAGTGGAAGGTAGAGTGTGCTTCACTCAACACTACAAAAATATTTTGTCATTTCCACAAAATGACGGGAATAAACACTATGAATTAACACCCTTTTCTCAACTATATCCACAGTTCATCATTGGTCAGTTACTCATGAACTCAGCAATGCTGACATCAAAAGGTTGGATGGAAACTTAAGCACTTCCTTTTTCCCCCCTCACTACACTTTGGTCAAAAGGTCATACTTGCAAAGTATTTTCACCCAGTTTCCTTTCAATAGTCAACTCCTGGGTTGCCACAGCTTTTGTTGGTAAAATCATTCCTGTAGTAAATTCTACAAAGAAACAAAAATTATTTTATTAAAAATTATTTCCTTTTAAACAGAAAACCCAAATTTTTTTTTTAAACTGGAATTTACAAAAAGAATTCTAAGAGCATTTTGAGGATTTCAAGACTACTACATGTTTTTACATATAAAATGATTAATAGCAAAGACTTTCATTCTTTTTTCAAATGCCTCACTTTGTTCTGTCAATAATCCAAAGTTTTCAAAGGTCTTTTCTAAATAAATGACTATTGTACATGACTAATTAGTAATAGCTCTGTGGTTCTCAGCTACTGTCAAAACCAGACCTGTCTCTCTTCACCACCCCTCACAAAACCTAGTCTCAGTCTTCATGCCTGTGAGGGTCCCATGAGAAGAACTGTGAACCCAAAACTATGCCAACACCTGGACACTCCATGAACAGGCACCAAGGATGAGCAGCAGAGAAAACCCTTTGGGCCATTCTGCCTTGCTGTCACCTCTTAATTCAGGGAAATGACAACAGCCTCATTCCATGCAGTAGAGGGATTATCTTAAGAGTATCTCAACTATACCTGTAACACCTGTGCTCACTTTCATTCAGACATTCATTCACTCAACAAAGATTTATTAAGCACCTACTATGTGCTGGAGATACAGCAGTGAACAAGACAGACACCTTCAATGCCCTCATGGAGCTTATGGTCTAGCAAGGAAGACAGACATTAAACAAGTAATTACTCAAAAAACTATTTTCATTCCAGAAAACTTTTTTGAGACAGGGTCAGGGTCTTATTCTTTAGCCTAAACGCGCCCCAAACTATCAATTTCTGCTTCTGCCTCCTGAGTGCTGGGATTGCAAGCAAGTACAACCATGCCAAGCTCAGAAAACTTGACTGACAATTTGGCAAACTGAATCATGCAGGGTATGGTACTGACAATTATTATGGTCGTACCCACAACTAGCTTCCAATATCCATGCTACAACTTACACTGCTGTTGAAAATAATGTTTTAGGAGCCTGACCTGGGAATCCAGACCACAGTGTAGAGTGTAACTTGGGTAAATAGAAAGGGAACCCTCTGGTTCACAAGGGATGCCTTCTTTACCCGTCTTAAGTGCCTTCAGGTACTCTCCAAGGGCCTCTCTGACCTTGGCGGTGCCTGTAGTTTTCATAAGATCCTTCAGTATATCCCCATCTCCTTTCTTTTTATTCACGTTCACCTACAAATCAGAGAAATAAAAACCTAAGAAAAATCTGGTTGAATGTATCCTTATAAAACTGGACCCTATGGACAAATGAAAGTAAGTGACAGAAAAGTGGGCAAGAGATGTGATTAGTCTTCAGAGTCGCAGAGTTTTTAAAGATACAACTGGCAGCCAAACACTGAATGGACATCATAAAATATAAACCACTTAATTTGCACTTGAAATTGTACATGGAAGCATAGGAGTTATACTGCTGCTGGCTTTATCTAGAAGTGGTCCAGTATGACAGCCACTAGCCACCTGTGGCTGAGCATGTGAAAACTAGGTTGGTCTGAACTGTGCTATAAATATTAATACACCAGATTCCAAAGACTTACTACAAAAAAAGACTAATAATTTATTAATTATGGGTTAAAGTCATATTTTGCTATACTGGATTAACAAAAAAATTTAATTATCTAGTTTTTAATATGGTTACTAGAAAAATTTTAATTGTATATGCTGCTTGTACATACGTTGAACAGTCCTCATCTACAACCTCAAAGTCACTCTTCAGGAAAGTCAAGCTCCTTTATAGCCTGGCCTTGAGCTATACTCCTGGCAGACAGAAAAATCAGCTGAGAGAAAGAATGGAAGGAAGAGTCGGGGACAGGGAAGCACCCAGAGGCGTCTGATAGTCTCATCCCAAAAGAGATCTTGGTCTGAAAGCACTTGAGGTCCCAATGCTTATTGCCAAGCTGGGCTTCATTGGATTCTGGAGTTTGCATCATAATGCAAAGGATAAATCTTTAAAAGATCAGGTTAATATGCCACTGGAAAGCTGCTTTGCTGGTGATCTATATACAGTGAAATAGCAACCCAAGTCTAAACAGCCCCATTTCTATGGCACCTCGCTAACCTTCAGTAAAGGCGAGTCTTGAGACATGCCACTCACTAGGATTGAGTTCATGTTAAACACAGACAAAAAAAAACCTTCACAAGACTTGTCTTGATTTGGAAAACAAACTGGCTATACAAATGGTCTTGCCTCTAGGGGCAGTGGCAGGGGAGTAAGCAGTTTCTGTCTCCCAAGAGGACTAGGAAAGCCTGTCCTAGGAGAGGACCAGTCAAAAGCAACAAGTCCTAACTAGCTTATAAAAAAAATCAGTGACAGCTGGAGAGAGAGTTCAGCAGTTAGGAGCACTGACTGCTCTTCCAGAAGACTTCCGATTGGTTCCCAGCAGCCACATGTTGGCTAACATCTGTAACTCCAGTTCCATGGGATCTGATGCCCTCTGTGGGCATTGCAGGACACAGGTACATTTACATACATGCAGGCAATACACTCATACACATAAACTATTTCAAAAAACACAGGTATATCCAAAGGAGAGTGCAGTTAAAAGTCTGAGAACTAGCCCTGTTAAAGGAAAACAGAGCTCTAGAAATAGATTAGGCAAGCCATGCCTGAGCACTTCATAACACATACCTTGTCACGTTTTACCTGGTGACATCCCTGAAGGATAAATTAACTCCACAGATGAGGAAGCTATTGCAGATGCAGTTACCTGCCTAGGCACACCTGGTCTTGGGGAATCTTGAGCTTTTTAGGGCTTCCTCCTTTCCCCACGCCTTGCTATACCATGTACCACATTCCCACACTACAGTGATCCTTGGCAGATAACCCCACAGTTCACAACTACCACGCTAAAACCAGATGGCCTGATGAGCAGTTTGCAAATGCCCAACATCTACAGCAGAAGCTTGACTAGAGAAAAGGAAAACTCAGATACCTCAGTATGATCTACTTCATTTTCTTCAGAAAGGCTGGGTATTTCAATCAGTCCCTTGTGCTTCGCACCAGATTCTTTAACTGTACCTAAAATGAGTAAAATGGGTCCAATTAATTGGTTTTACACAAAACTACTCTTGCTGACTTCATGGTCAGAGAACAGCCAAGACAGATGGGATTACCAACATGATACACAGGAAATCAGGCTGGCAGCCCTGGTAAAAGGAAGTTTACCACCTGTTTCCCTTTTTATCCACCAGTGCTATATGCCAGGTTAAAGACAGATGAAAGGCTATTGAGAGAAGGCTGGGAGGACAAAGGGACAATGTGCTCTGGTCATGGAAAGCTGTAGGGAGGCAAGCTATGGGAAGTCTGTGGACTTCGTGCAGTCAGATTTCTAACAGGACTAAAGTTTGAATGTCTGGAATGACAAAGTAGGCAAGAGCCCTTGCAGCTGGCCTTCTGACTACGCCTA